TTATCATCATTTTCAAGATGTTTGCCAAATTTCTAAACATAAGCAGCATGTCCCTCAAAAGTTCTTTCTCTCACCTTTAGACTTGGTATCAATATTCCTTTCTAGAGGAAGTTTAAAAGATCAGGTTGTTTAATTTTGCCTTCAAAGGGCAATACTGTGTGTGTGTGTGTGTGTGTGTGTGTGTGTTTGTGTACATGTGTATGTGTGTATATACATATGTATGTGGTTATTACTTTAAATTTTACTCACCCTTGCCTTTGTTGCAGAATATTCATTAATTTTTCATTCTGGTGACCTTTTCAGATGTTGCTGTAATTTCTTGCTCTCTGTCCCTTATGCTTGTTTGTTTGGTTTTTTTTTTTTTCCATAACTACTAGACGGCTAAAAGTAACAAGACAGCTAGTAAAATATTCTGTTCCACTACTTCTCCCTCCCTTCCTCTTTCCCTCTCTCTTTCCTTCCACTTCATCCTGTGTCTGGTTCCTGTTTGCTACTACCCAGGTGCGCATCACTTCCATCAGCCCGCTGTCCCCTCATCAACATCTTTGTCATGTACGCGCCCAGTCTTGTTGCATACCACCATAGTTAAGTGGGGGAAATACAAGTGAGTGGTTGACCCTGGAACCATCTGTGTTGTGTCCTGCTTGGACATGGAAACCACCATGTCCACTATGCATACTAGAAACCAAATACTGAGCACTGACATCGCTCCATACCCAATGGAGTGTCCCCACTGTGCCCTCTCTGAGACACCGCTGCGCACCTCCCGCCATCATTTGACTTGTTCCATTTCTTCCTACATTCCCACTGCTTAAAAGCATTTAAACAGGGTAGATGAAAATGGGGGAAAATAGTAAGACACAAATCTTGATTGCCTTTAATCAAGTCTGAGCCATCTTCTTGACTAATGATTGAGGTAGGAAGGCCGAGTCCTCTCAGGGCAGTGCCGCTCCCAAGCAGGCAGTCCTGAAGTATATATATAGCAAACTGAGCAAGCGGTATTCCTCCATGGCCTTTACTTTAGTTCCTACCTCGGCTTCCCTCAATAGTCTGTAATCTAGACACATAAGCCAAATAAATGCTTCCTTCCCCAATCTGACTTGGTCATGGTGCTTTATCGCAGCCACAGAAACCAAGCTAAGATAACCTACACCTCCTGGTCTACATTTGAGCACCACCGAATCCCTTCTATTTGGGTTTTGGTTTTTTTATGGATTGTCTGCTTGCCAGTGTGTATCTCTTATCTTCCCAACTCCTGCACACACCCTAAGACCATTTCCTCTTCATTAACCAATTCCCCTCCTTCCCAACTCCAACCACAGAGACCCTTGATGTTCCAAAACAGTTCAAAAACGTAGATCTTTAACAGACACGAGGCCTCCACTCCATTCCAATTTTTTTTGATAAAACTGTTCTCAAAATTTTGGTTTGTTCAGAACAAATTGGATATTAGCAGTCACGTTGTGGGCCTTTTCCCTAAAATCGTCAAGATAAATAAATCAGTCTTTCAAAGTAATAAAAAAAAATGAAGTTTTTAAAATTCTGTTATTTAGTGACTCACCCAATTAATTCACAAATGTTTGCTAATTATTCTCATACTTTCAAGATTTATGAAGTTAGGCCCCTGAGCTCATAATTCATTCAGCAAATGCTTTGGAGCCCCTAATCTAGTACATCCTGAAGAAGTAAAAAACAAAAGTCTTCTCTATCCTTAAAGCACTTAGTTCCCCATAGACATATGTTTCATATGGTCTTTGAGTGACTCCAAAGTACAGAAACTATGCATGCAAACTTGGCACCTGCATGAGTGAGTGACCAGCTGAGGGGAGTTCTCAGGGCAGATCCAGGAAGACTATCAGACTATAAGATTCCTGAATTCTAAGACGGTTTAAGGGCAACGAAGAAAGTTTGTAAGTAGCTGCTGAAACTATTAAAGGTGCCAGTTGAACCAAAGACAGGCAAGGTGTAGGAACTTAGAGGTCATGGAAGTTGAGGAATGGTGCTGCCATTTCCACTAACACAAGATGCTTTCAAATGTCTTTTCCAAACACTGGAAGAAAAACAGCTTGTGGAACATGAGACCTTCAGATACAGAGTTTGTACAACATTTTTTGGTTTTTTTATTCTGCAAATTCAAGTGTTAAATGAAAAAAAAAAAAAAAGAAGAAGAAGAAGAAGCCTTAATTGTGATTCTGGGAAGAGGGCTCCGTGGGCAAAGTACGTGCCCTACAAGCAGGGGGCCCTGAATTCGGATTCCCAGAACCTAAAAGCTAGGCATGGTGTCACAAGTCTTGGTGCCAGAGAGGCAGAAACAAAAGGCTCCGTGGTGGTCACTGGCTATTCAGACTATCCAATCACTGAGCTCCAGGTTCAGAGAGAAACCCGATCTCAAAGGATGAGATGGAGAGCAATGGAAGAAGGCACCCAGCTTTAACCTGAAGTGTGCAGATGTGCCCCCCCCCACACACACACACTAAATCTTCACTTGTTTGACTTACCTTCTTCTTCCAACAAACCTTGATTTCTCACCCCAACCCTGTACTACTAGTGTAAGATGTAAAGATGTGTGTACAGTAGCTTTTGTGCTCAGAGAATGCCTCTCCAAATATCTGACCATCCAAAACTGATGGAAGGTTTCATAAGAGCACATCTTGTTCTGAACTGGCTGTATCCCCACCCACGCAAAAAAAAAAAAAAAAAAAAAAAAAAAAATGTGACAAAGAACATTTTACAAGCTGCCATTGTTGCCAGCAAGCACATCTTGCCAACTGCGTTCTCCTCAGACACAAGTCCCAGCCATTATAACAGCGTTACAAAGGAGAAAAACAGGACAGGAGACAAAACGCAAGCAGCAGGTCCCTGAAAAGTTCTTTATCTCACAGGGACTCAATGGGAGCGCGCCTACTCACAGGATGCACAGGTTCCTGGAATAATGACACCCCAGGAGATTAAGGGACTCCTGGCGTTTTAAAAAGGGTTTAGAACCCTAGGTTTTATTCATAAGGTTTAGGCATCTTTTTCCATTTCTGCTATGAATTTACATATAAATACACATGTGTGTGCGCATAGTGCTTCCCTTTAAAAAAAAAAAAAAAAACAACTTTCCCAAACAGACAAAAATGTGTTCTTTTCATAACATACTAGTACTCTATCAGATTAGAAACATCTTTACCTTTTTTCAGGGGCTGGGAACTAGGCAGCTAACTCACCTGGGAGATGCCCTGTAATCATGAGTCCAATGATGAGTTCAGTGATGTGGGTCCGAAGCAGGGTTTAGTCCCCACAATCCACATAAGAAAGCCAGACGTAGTGGGGGAGCTGGAGAGAGGTGAATCTCATGTGTGAATCTCGGGTTTGCTGGGATAAATGCCACTGTTGCTGTTTTTCCTTTTTTTTTTTTAATCTAAAAAAGAAGGTCATTTGAAACACTCCAATTCCCGTTCCCGTTCATAAAGAATGCTGCTCTGGGAACATACAGAATACAAACTTACCTCTTCTCACAGGTACACACACACACACAAATAAAAAAAATCTTTAAAAATAACCCACTTCTATCAGATTTTCTATAGCTGGCATTGCCTTTGCATTGACTTCCGGGGGTGCGGGGGTGTGGGGGTGTCTACAGCAGGTCTGTGTCAAGGGTGGTGACACTTCCTAAGTGGTTTTTTATTTGCTTGTTTGTTTTGTTTTGTTGCTACTCAAAGGGAGGCAAGAAATACAGACTAAGGCAATCCCCAAAAGCAAGGCCACCAAGATGACCCAGGAAAGACTCGCTTTATTTAATGTCTTCAAGCAGAATTTGCCAGACAGCCCTCCCTTCCATTTCTCTACAGGAGGGAGAACTCAACATAATTCAAATTCAATTTTCACAGATACTGCAACCTTATCTCTCAAGAGGCAACAGGTCCCAGAGCTCAGAAGGTAAGAACAGAAATTTAAGGTTTATAATCCAAGGCCTCATTTTGCTCTAACAAGCAAATTCCCTGAGAGAGCACTCGGGAAAATGTCCTTTGAGCAGCCCCCCCACCCCCCGACAAATGCTTCTAGCACAACGCATTGGGCCTGGTCCAACGAGCAACTCCGGGGATCATAAGATGGAATCAGGAGACAGGGTGTCGGGATATGTTGAAACTAGGTAGCATGCCAGGTCTCTCTGGCTCTTAGACCACAGTTGTTAACTCTCAGAGACAAATGAGCCATATGGAGGAAAGGTCAGAAATATTAAACTGAGCAAGGGATTGGGCTCACCAAACCACAGGGAGAGAGAGAAAGCATGGAAACTGTGGGCACTTAGGAAGTCACTGTCAACTGTGGGCAGGGAGAAGAGTGGAAAGAATCTGCTCCTGGGGGTAGAACAGATGAATTGTGAATCACTTCTGCAGACTGGAATCCGTTGTAACCATGAGCCAACCAGAGTGCATACCCCCCCCCCCCTCCCGGGCTTCAGCCATAGAAAGCAGGGAAGGCTGCAGTGCTGGGCCACGCGAAGATCTGGGCTCAGTCACTCTCCACCGCTGCCCACTCCCATGACAGCTATTCCTGAACCCTGCAGAACCATCTCCCCTGTGGCAGCTGTGCTGGCTCTGCTCAGATCCAGGGTAGGACAAAGTACTGTTGAAGGGCTGCAGAGTCCCTGTGTTGGGGCCTATACCACGGGTACAGCCTCTTCTGTGCTAGAAACTGTTACAGAGGGCTGGCAATATACATCATGATTGAAATGATTTTATGTTTTGATACAGCATGTAGACCCCAGGAACTTTTCCTACCAAAATATCTCCACCAATTGGCCAAAAAAATGAGTAAGAAAGAACTGGTTTTCTGGAACATTTTTTTTTTAAAACAATAAAGATTAAAAATAACCCACATACTCAAGGGGAAAGAAATGTTTAAATCAAAGAAATTATTTTAAGATGCGTTATACCTGGGCTGGAGAGATGACTCAGAGGTTAAGAGTACATGCCGGATTGCAGAGCCGGAGCTCCGGTTAGCCTGCCACGAGGTTCTCGCGAGATCTGCCGCCTCCACACCAAGCGCCTGTGTCTGGCAGAGCCGGTGTGAGAAGAGGAGCCAATCCTTCCCCGCTGCCGGGATAATCAAGAGTTTTGGCCGGACCTTTGGAGTACACGTCGAGATAGCGAGGAGCCCGGCGAAAAGCACAGACTATGGCGCTGAAACGGATTAATAAGGAACTTAGTGATTTGGCCCGTGACCCTCCAGCACAATGTTCTGCAGGTCCAGTTGGAGATGACATGTTTCATTGGCAAGCCACAATTATGGGACCTAATGACAGCCCATATCAAGGTGGTGTATTCTTTTTGACAATTCATTTTCCTACAGACTATCCCTTCAAACCACCTAAGGTTGCATTTACAACAAGAATTTATCATCCAAATATTAACAGTAATGGCAGCATTTGTCTTGATATTCTAAGATCACAGTGGTCTCCTGCTTTAACTATTTCTAAAGTTCTTTTATCCATTTGTTCACTGCTATGTGATCCAAATCCAGATGACCCCCTAGTGCCAGAGATTGCACGGATCTATAAAACAGACAGAGATAAATACAACAGAATATCTCGGGAATGGACTCAGAAGTATGCCATGTGATGCTACCTTAAAGTCAGAATAACCTGCATTATAGCTGGAATAAACTTTAAATTACTGTTCCTTTTTTGATTTTCTTATCCGGCTGCTCCCCTATCAGACCTCATCTTTTTTAATTTTATTTTTTGTTTACCTCCCTCCATTCATTCACATGCTCATCTGAGAAGACTTAAGTTCTTCCAGCTTTGGACAATAACTGCTTTTAGAAACTGTAAAGTAGTTACAAGAGAACAGTTGCCCAAGATTCAGAAATTTTTTTAAAACTGGAGCATGTGTATTATGTGGCCAATGTCTTCACTCTAACTTGGTTATGAGACTAAACCAATCCTCACTGCTCTAACATGCTGCAGAAGCCATTTGAGGGGGAGGGAGGTGGATGCTCAGCTGTCACATCAAAGGAAGCAGCATTACTCTAGCAGCATCCATTCTTGTTTAAGCCTTCCACTGTTAGAGATTTGAGGTTACATGATATACTTTATGCTCATAACTGATGTGGCTGGAGAATTGGTATTGAATTATAGCATCAGCAGAACAGAAAATGTGATGTATTTTATGCATGTCAATAAAGGAATGACCTGTTCTTGTTCTACAGAGAATGGAAATTGGAAGTCAAACACCCTTTGTATTCCAAAATAGGGTCTCAAAACATTTTGTAATTTTCATTTAAATTGTTAGGAGGCTTGGAGCTATTAGTTAATCTATCTTCCAATACTGTTTAATATAGCACTGAATAAATGATGCGAGTTGTCAAAAAAAAAAAAAAAAAGTACATGCTGCTGTTGCAGAGGACCCGAGTTCACTTCCTAGCACCCACATTAGGTGAATCAAAACACCCGCAACTCCAGCTCCAGCTCCAGGAGACTTAACACCATATTCTGCAGGTGACTGCATTCACAGACACACACACACACTCATAATTTAAAGCAACAACAATAATCTAGGGGTCGGAGAGATGGCTCGCTGTTTAAGAGGTGCAGAGGACTTAGATTCGGTTACCAACAACCGAATCTAAGTTACAGGCAGCTAAGAATCGCCTGTAACTCTAGTTCCAAGGGATGCCACACCCCCTTCTTGGCCTCTGAGGGCACAAGCACCCACATGCACATCGACCCAGACACAAACATATACAAATAATTTAAAAATAAAATATTTTAAAAGATGCACTTTAATATTTTTTTTTTTTAAATGAGGAGCTGGAGAGATGGCTCAGTGGTTAGAAGCACTGGCTTCTCTTCCAGAGGACCTGGGTTCAACTCCTGGCAACCACATGGTAGTTCACAAGTGTGTGTAACTCCTATTCCAGGCGATCTGACACCCTCACACAGACACGCATACAGGCAAACCATCAATGCATATAAAATAAATATATAAATAAACATTTTAAAATGAACCATACAAGGTATACAAAACATATAGTATTTATAGATATATTTTGTTTTCTTTTGGTGCTGGGTATCAAAATCTAGCAGGTTCACAAAGGCTAAGCAGGTGTTTCTGTCACTGAGTTATATACCCCAGCTCCTCTTTGTTTTATAAAAACAGTGTTTTATACATTCTATACAATCTCTATGTGTGAGCACAGACATTTGATATCGGCTGATTATGAACATATTAATATTCATATGTAGTATGACTATTATAAACTTATGAACTTATAAATGCATAGAGAAATCTGGAAAGATAGACTAATGACAGTGATAACCTACTGGCAGGGTTTCAAAGATCAGAACTCACAGAATGAGCATCGGAGAAAGAGAGAGTTGGGGGTTGGTCTAGCGCATTCAGATGCTAAATTCTGTTTGCCAAGATCTGGTCGCAGTCTAGACAAATGCTTTCTCACATACACCGAACATGTTGTGTAAACTTTGCTCTCCAATTATCTCTAATTGGCTAATAAAGAAAGGCTGGATAGCCTATCCCTGGGCAGAGGAGAGGGAGGGAGGGAGGGATGCGGTTCCTGGGCTTGGGGTCTCAGGTAGGGACCACCTACCTGAGGGGAGAAGGGAAGACGAGAAAGAAGAGAAGAGGAAGATGGAGAGAAAGGACGTGGCCTGATGAAGCAGATCCAGCCAAGACAGGGCCAATATTAGCACATAACTTGAGATGTGTGGCTGGGAAGTAGCCAGAGCAGCTTAGAAAAGAGTATAAATTGTACCTGCCCAGTTATTGTGCTTGAGCTTGTTAAACAAGTCAATAGGTCTCTGTCTCAATTACTTGGAGATAGCTGAGTTATAAAAGCCCCCTAGAACAAGGACTATTTCTAACAGGATCTCAAGGGCAGGCTCTTTGACCTCCCCACCCCTCCAGGGGAGGAGCAGTCCTGTTAGGCCACAGAGGAGGACTTTGCAGCCAGCCTTGAAGACACCTGATAAAACAGGGTCAAATGAAAGGTGGACTTGGAAAGGGGCAAGGAGGAGACCAGGGAGGGAGTGTGGGGTTGGGGAGGGAAGGAGGGAGCAGGATACAACTGGGACACAGAGTTAACAAAATGTAACTAAAAAGAAAAATTAAATTAAAAAAAAAGAAAAATAAATAAATAAAAATTAAAAATTTAATTGAAAAAAAAGAAAAATTAAAATCAAAACACACAAACAAAAAAATACCAGTAAGACAAAACAAACAAACAAACAAAAAAAAAAAAACACAGCAAAACATGGAGTCTGTTTTGCTGCTGCTGCTGCTGCTGCTGTCACCACTACTGTGCATGTCCTGCCCTGGAGAGCCCTTGATATACCCAGCGATACTCCACTGGGGAAAACTGTTTTGTTTTGTTTTCTTTCCTGGCAGGAACTAATTGCAAATAGCTCCCTTGCTGGGGGTAAGACTTTGTGTCCATTTCACATTTTCTGTGTAGGTCTACTATTGTGCAGTTGAGGGTCTCTATATTAATTACCATCTACCGCAAGAAAAAGGCTTCTGTGATGAATGTTGAGCTATATGTATAGCAGCATATCGTTAGGGGTCATTTTATTGCTCCGTTCCTTCAGCTAAATAATAGTGGTAAGGTTTCCCCTAAAGATGACCTTATGTCTCTTCTTTCTGCTACTTATTTTGCTGTGTAGAAGCTTTTACATTTCATTCCATCGTTTTTGTCAGTTTTTATTGTTGTTTCCTGAACTATTAAGATCCTTGACAGAAATGCTTTACCTTGCCAATATCTTCACGTGTTTTCTTTGTGTTTCACTCAAGTTACTTGTGTTTTGGGTTTCACAGTAAGGTCTCTAAGACAATTTGAACTGAATTTTGTGGGGTGCAAGAAAATTGAATGAATCTATTTTCATTCTGTGTGAACGTCTAGCTTTCATGGTACCTTTCCTTAAAGAGGATTTTTCCTGGTGTGTATTTTAATACATTTACCAAAAATTAGATGCTTATAACTACATGGGTTTATTCCACCGCTCTATATGTCAGATTTTCTGTCAGCACCATGACTCTATGGTACAATTTAGATCAAATATCTGACTATTCAGGGCGTTTTGTGCCTTCATGAGAATCTAAGGTTTTCTTTTAGGGGGGGTCCTATAAAGAATGTAATTAAAAGGTTATAATTGTATTGAAATTGACTGTTTTGGTAATATAGCCGTTTTCACAGATTTAGTTCTATCGATCTGTGAGCATGGGAAATGAGAGGAGTCTTTTCTCTTCTAGTATTTCCAGTTTCCTTTGGGGGGTATTGTAAAATCTTTGTTATAGAGGCATTTCATCTCCTTGGTTATGATTACTAGAATTTTTTGGTTCTATTGTGAATGAAATCTCTCTTTTAATTTTTCTTGGCATGTTGATTCTTGATATAGAGAAAAATCTGATTGTCATAAATCTTTCCAATATCTATTGAGAAAATCATATTCCTATTCTTCATTCTATTCTCCTTACTGATTTTCATGTGCTGCAACATATTTTCATTCCTGAAGTTAAGCCAACTTGGTCATGCTTTAAATACTTTTTAATTTTGTTTGAAATTATATTATTGAGAATTTTTGTTCTCAGTAACAAGAATCTTCATCACAGTGATCAGTTTCTACTGTGACTGTTGTGTTCTTCTCTGGTTTGGGCAATCAGGGTGCTCCTACTTCAAGAACACTTCAGTGGTGCTCCTTCCTTTCTGTTTTAGGAGACAGTTTGAGACAATTCTTTAAGAGTCTAGTAGGTTCAGTAGTCCATTTTTATGGTCCTAGGATTTTTGTTGTCAGGAGACTGTATAAATAGTTTGTAGCTTCTTGATTTAGTTTTAGCTTGTCATGTGTGTCTAAAAAATTGTATATTTCTTCTCTATTTTCCAGTTGTTTAAAGAAACATGATTATTTCAAGTATTCCCAAAAATCTTCCAGATTTTGTGGATTTCAGCTATAGTGTCTTCATTTTCATCTCTAATTTTAATAATTTGGTTTTTCCTCTCTCTTTGGGTTAGTTTGGCTAAGAAACTGTTCACATTGTATTTTTTCCACATTATCAACTTTTGGGTTTATTGATTCCTTGAATTGAAATTGTTGTTTTAACCTCTATTCCACTAAATTTTTCCCTGATGCGTATTATTTCTTGCAGTCTATGGAATTTTCATTTGAACTATCCTTGTTTTTCTAAAGCGTCAAGGTACATCATTAAGTTATTTATTTGAGGTCTTTAATGTAGGCACGCATAGCTATAAAATAGCGCCCTTTGAACTGCTTTTGTCATATATCTAAAGTTCCAGTAAGTTGTACTTTCCCTTTAATTTGATTCTATGAATGTTTTAATTTCCTCACAGTAAACAGCCAACAGTGCGTTGTTCAATTTCTGTGTTTTCTTTTTACTAGTGAATTTAAGTTATTATACTAAGAACTGACAATATACAATAAATTATTTCACCACAGTCAAAAAATAAAATAAAATAAAAGCCCCCTAGAATTAATACATTTTCTACAATAAGAGAGAGCATTTTTAGTTCCGTTGTTTTGTTAAGTCTCGAAGGCTGTCTTTGAACTTATGTATTCAAGGCTAGCCTCAAACCAATAATCTTCCTGCCTCAGACTTTACTTACTCCTTTGAGTTGCTAGTTTTACCCTAAGTATTCATCATGTGTCATAAATTTTAAAAATACAGACTGGGGGAACTTGATAAACAGCTATTAATAATTATTTTTTTTCTTTTTTGAGATTATAATATAATCACATCATTTCTTCCTTCCATTTTCCCGCTCTGAACCCTCCATATGCCTCTCCTTGCTCTCTTTCAAGTATGTATCTCCCTTAATATAGCCTGTGTGTATGTTTTCAGGGTTGACCTTGGAGTGTTGGATACGCAGTCTAAGCAGTGGGTGTGCCCTTCTCCCACTTTCAGCCTTCCTTAGTTCTTTGTGTAGGGTTGAGGCCTAGGGCTTTCCCCCATCCGTTTTGGCATGTCTATTGCTGTCCTTGTTCAGCTCATGTTCAGCAGCTGAACATGCTGGTGAGACTTCATGGGTGCAGCTTCTGACATTACTGGGAGACACAGTCTCACAACAAACCTCCTGATCCTCTGTCTGTTATGACTCATCTGATTCCTCTTCTCCTGTGTCCTCTGAGCCTTAGATGCGGGATGTTTTGTAGATTTATCCATTGGTGGTACTTGGCTCCACAAC